AGAATAAAGAGCAACGCGAGGATTAGAGAGCTTCCCGACACTCCACCAACACTCATGAAGGGCTTAGAGGGCTATAGATATCATTAATGAATGGACATAGAGAGAGACAGAGGGGTTGGGTTGGGGGGGTCTTTTTCCTTTTATTCAGCCCCGACCCCCCTGCGATGCCACTGTGATTTCTAATGATCATACATTCCACGTACATACATTAAAAGTCAATGAGAGGCGGGCAACAGAGTAAAACTGCCTGTGTGTTGATCTTCCAACACCAGACAGACATGGCCGCTGTTGACTGCTGTACGTTTGGTTCACGCCAATCTCTGAATTATTCATCTGGAAGTCGTGTTGAAAATGCCAAACATGTATTTGAATATTTGTACGCCTTTTTGTGTGAGTCTACTGGAAAAAACAGATAGTACTCATTGTGCTATGCATGTGGGTTTGCTACCGGGATGCGTGTAGCCTGTAGGTACTCAATTCTGCATTCAGATGCCGGGTGCGGGGTGATTTGAGGGGCCACACGGCTGTGTCTTGTTTTATAGAAAGGAAATTGCTGCATTTTCTCTCATAAGCAAGAGCGTGTCTTGGATAGGCTCAGCCCCACCGGCCTGTCTGCACAACATCTGCAGCGATTTGACACCAAGATAACCTCTGTGTTTGCCAACATGCCAAAGGATTTTCGGAAAATGCAACGCTGAGGTTAAAGTTTGCAGAATATCATCACAATCTGTGAACCTCAAAATACCTTTCCCCGATTATATGAAGCTCCACTGGGATATCCTGACCAGGAAGGCACGGGGAGATAAGTCTCCCTGTTGTTTAGTAACATGGAGTTATCGTCTCCTCCCTCATTCCCGGAGCTGTGTGTGTTGCACTAATGGAGTCTTTATCATGAAAGAGTTAACTACTTATCACTGCTCCGCTGCTACAGATCAAGAGCACAAATGGATTTGCTGAAGGGGCAGAATGCTCTTTGATGAGCTTCAGACAAAGTTGAATGACATTTGCGGCCACGGTAGGGCCTTGGCTTGCTCGCTTAGCGGTATCTCATACTGTCAGTATACAGGATGGCTGTTTTGAGATAGAAAGTGCTGTAAGAAATGAAACGCATGGCAGAGCTCTTTTTGTCTGCACATACTATATGTGTCGATGCATCAGAAATAAAAGTACATGGTAGTGGATTTGTCACGTCTGAGGATCAAACAGAGAGTCCAAACATATTCTTAATATTTCCTTACATATTGGACTCAGTAAACCCAAATTACGCACATCCAAATTGTTTTGGAAATGAAACCTTTGGCACACTGTGCTCCTGGCGTCGCTCTGCGTGCAAACACATAACCCATTCAAGTCCTGCTGTGCCAGAGAGCCACACCGTGTCCCTGTACAGTATCCCACCATTGTCCTTAGAGATCCCCTGAGATAATGAGGAAGGGTATGTGTTTGTGCAGTATGTGTGTGTGTGTGTGCATGTGTGTGTGTGTGTGTGTGTGCGTGCGTGCGTGCGTGCGTGTATGTGTGTTCCTTCTATGACTTCTGAACAAAAGGAGTGTATAACATGTTGTATTATGCCTGAGGAACAAATAATATAAAAGCTGTGTATGTGAAGTTGTTTTAATCTACTACACTTGTTTTATTCTGATTGATGTTACACAGAAGAGCCTTGTTGCAATTATTTTTTGCTTCTTTTCTCTTGACAATATAGGTGAATGGAAGAAAAAAAGAGACCCTGCTAGAACTTAATTTCCAAGAAGAAACTCTCATAAGTGAAACATTACAAAACCAATAATATAGTTTTGGGTAATTGCAATGAGGATGATGGTGTGGGCGATTTTCTATAAAACTTTTGTATGAAAGCAAAAATAACAAGGCGTGGAAATTGAACACAGCTTAATTGCTTCTTTGTTATCAACACACTTTGTTAAAAACGGAATGAAGAGCTTTGTTGACAATAAATCTCAAACTCAGACCTTAAAGTGAAGCATTAGCTTTGCGGCAAACACTCGGCTCGGGAAGGCAGCGCTGCTGATCTCATTACCGCCTCCCGATTTCACATTGAGATTTTAATCATCGGCTACAGTATTTCTGATTGATGTGTGCGTTTGAATTAGCGTGTGCGTGAATTGTGTGTGCACATATATCCGTGCACACACAGGGGGTTTTAATACATCTTCGTAATTAGTCTCATAATTATAAGGCAATAAACTGCAGTACACATGGGAGACTGATCCATCTCTGGGATACTGCAATTACCCTGCGAAGATGCGGTACTGTGACAAATCTCCAGAAGAGGAGCCTTACTCTATTCTGCTTAAAACAACATGCAGAATACAGGCTTAGTTCAGTTTTGTGATTGAATTTGTCGAAACAAAGGTCTTGCATGGTTTATTTGAGTGGACATAGTCTTGGAACCGATAATCCCCTTAAAAACATCAGTGTAACTCTGATTTCATTTGAAATTCCAGTCCTGTTGCCACTTCTTTCCCATCACATTATTTTTTTTCCGAAGGGCTGTCTAGATTGCAATCCCAAGTCTTGAAATGCTGATGCACAACAGCTCGTCTTCGAGTTCTCGTCAATCTGTTCGATGTAGTGATATCACACAGCCTCTGACTGAGTCTAAATTGGCTTTGCTTCCATTAGCTCCAACAGTGCCTCATTATCAGCAGCCAACATCTAGCCTGCAGGGCCAGACCTCTGCTACTCCGCCACCCACCATTTCAACATCTCACACACACACACACACACACACACACACACACACACACACACACACACACACACACACACACACACACACACACACACACACACACACACACACACTAATACTTCAATTTTCATGTCTTTGATTAAGCCGGCATGATGTTCACTGTTGCTGCTGCGCACACCTGCTTACATTGCAGACACCCATAAAGGATGATGGGAGGATCATCGACTGGGGACGGAACAGGAAATCAGAGTGATGTTTTGTGAAGAAATTAATTAAATATAACATAACATTAACAGACAACAACCCCCCCAGATACAAACATATAGTGTATAAAGACTACATCTTCGTGTGCACAGAACAAAGGTTTTCTCACATTTCATGTACACACAGAAAATGTCCCTTGGTGTAACCTTTTCCAAACAACGTGCAGACCTTTTTTCCATTCAGCATTAGCGATCACATTAGTAACAATATCATCATGACGGCAAGTCTTACTCCCACAAAATAATGGATCAGTGGTTGCTAACCTTTGCTTTAAGATCAAAAGAACAAGTTACGATGAAAGCTTAAGACATTATATATAACCATGTTCAAGCATATCTTGTGAATTCCTCACCCTAAGTGACTAATGGGGACAACAATATTTGAAATTGGTCCAATATTGAGCGGCAGTGCAGCATCTGGCTCAGTTTTCCTACTGGGCCATTCTGCATCATCATTGTACAGCAACCTAAAGTGTTTATTCTGTCACTTACATGCTACATTTTTATTAGAAATGCGTGAAAACAATACAAAAAGGTGGTTATAGAGAAATGAAATGTTTATGTTTACTTTAGCTTGAAAAGGTTTGTTAATTAAACAAAAGCTACAAACTCCATCTCAATGCATACAGAGATGCTCTTATTGCCACTAAATCTGCCTACCTCTCCAACATCTTCACTGACCCCTCCCGTAACCCCAGGAACCTCTTCTCCACAGTTAACAAGCTCTTCAAACCCCGTGCTGATAACCTCCCTACTTCTACTTCCGCTACTTGCAGCTCANCAGTATTTCTATAACTTGCTATAAATGCTTCAATGCTACATGTCGTACTGTTTTGTACTTTACTGCTCTGTCTAGACCAGTGGTTCTCAAACTTTTTCTGTCAGGCCCCCCCTTTGGAGAAAAAAAAAAGTCGGGCCCCCCCAACACAAATAGTCAGGCTCAGTGGCGGCGCCAGAGATTCTATTTTGGGGGTGCTGTGGGGTAGCTTGACGTTTCATAGAGGGTGCTCAAACATTTAGGGTTTCCCATTAATGTACTGGTCGCTACAGTGGAATGTTCTTCTGCAACAATCCCCACACACACACACACACAGTGTACCCGCGACTGTTACAATGAAGGCTCGATAATCAGCTCACGGCATATAGGTGTAAGCAGGGGTAAAGTGTTATTTTTATAGGTGGTGTGTGGACCTCACATAGGGGGGTCAGGGGGCAAGCTCCCCTGGGAAGATTTTTAAATATTGAAGTTAAAAGCATCAATCTGGTGCACTTTGAGAGCAACATGAAGAGATCTATGGATACATCTCTCAACACCCATTTGAAACAGAACTGTAAACAGATTTACTTTTTCTTTATGGATATTTTACATCACTCCCTTTTTAACGTTATTCTTTTTTTAATGTCATATAGTATTTCATACCTGTTTTTAATTTATTCTCTTATTTTTTTAAAGCTATAATGATCATATAAACGTGGGGCCTCGGAAATAATTGTTTACATTAATGGTGACCAAAACGTTTGAGACCCACTGAGATAACACTGAGAGTCCTTTAGCTCACTGAGTCTCTCATTCTGACAGGAGAGGACTCTCCTCCACTTTGTTGTTGAAAAAACTCCTTATATCCGTTAGCGTAGCTCGCTAGCACCAGAAGCTAACAACAACGATCTCCGGTACCGGTGCGCTCTCACTCGCGCACGCACACAAAATGGCTCGCTCCCCACACACACACAGAGCCAAACTTTAATGAAACACAGAGACCCAGACGTAATAGTACTGTATAATATTATTTTCGAATCAATAATTTTTAAAACATTTTTTTTTTTTTTTTTTATGTTTTTTTTTTTTATAACCATTTTTCCTCCTGGTCTCTCGCGCCCCCCCTGTCATGCCTCTGCGCCCCCCTGGGGGGGCGCGCCCCCCACTTTGAGAACCACTGCACTAAATGATCCGGTGATCCTCAAGATGCATTACTGAGATAAGGGCTTAGATGTAAGGAAAGTGCATAAAGATGATTAGTTCTTGGAAGCTTACTCATGCTAGCTTGTGCTACGCTGTGCACAACCAGATTTTTTGGAGTGGCAAGTCCAAATATCAAGGTGATGGGGGTTTTCTGGATATCGGGGACAAACTCTGTAGTTGACTCGGTATACTAACCTACCTTTATTTCTGTAGGTGACCTCACAGCAGCCAGAGGCCATGTTCAGCCTGTCTGCCACGGTGAAGGAGCGCTTCACAGAGAGAACAGCCCTGCTCTCTGACGCTGAGTTGCAGAAACACCAGAAAGTCGTGGCCTTCAAGGACGGCATCAAGAACACTCTGAACCAAGGTACGACCTGGAAATAAAGGAGAAATAATCAGAATTGATCTTCTCAATGAAATAAAGTTAGGAATTATAAAATACTTTGATGATAGCTGTGCTTGCAGGAGGGAATCTGAGCCAAGGACAGAAAGAATTATTGGGTCCTTATTTCGTAATAATTAGCCTAATTTTAAACTCCCTTTGTTTACTGCTGAATAATTATGTTTGCCTGTCACCCTGAAGCAGTTATTTTCTGCTCTTTAAGTGTCCCTGTGTGACCCCTTATTAAACACATGGTCACACTTTGACACGGCCATATTGTTTTCTGTAGACGCTATAAGGGAAGTTGCTGCTTCACCAATGTTAATCTCCCAGTCTGATTAATTCCCAAAAGATGCATTGTGGATGGAAACATATTTTAGGGTGTGAACAGAAATGGTTATATGAGATAATGTCATTTGCAGTCAACATATTATTTTGTATTCTGTGAAGCTCTAATCCATCAATCATCATAATTAGTAATTATATGATTGCTAAATCACTTCATGTTCATATTGAGGAAGACATTAATAAAGCTTACATTTTGCTCTCCTAAAGACTGAAGTGTTACCTTATTGGCTGGACCATTGCATCACTGCGTGGAAGAGTGCAAGGATGCATCATGTTTTTTAAATACCCTAAGCAGAGAAAAGCCTTTTGGATAGTTGTAGCTTCACTGGGTGTGTGTGTGTGTGTGTGTGTGTGTGTGTGTGTGTGTGTGTGTGTGTGTGTGTGTGTGTGTGTGTGTGTGTGTGTGTGTGTGTGTGTGTGTGTGTGGTCTCAAGGCTATGTGTGTTACTTTAAAGTGAGATTTGATGAAAGATGGTGAAATGGGGCAAACATTAACTCCTTCATGTGGACACTGGTATATTTTTGAAGCTAAATTATATTTGTTTTGGCATTAAAATAACATGCAAAATTAGCTCTGAATGTATTATCTATGTGGGACATATTGTCATTGATCCAGGTCATCATTTATCTAGAAATGTGGAAACTGACTATGTATAATATATTTCAGGCAACGAAGAGACGGCAGAGAACATGGAGGAGCTGGATGAAGACATCGCTGTCACACAGACCCAAGTGAACTTCACCTGCCCACTCACACAGGTAGACTTTTCCAGCCTCCTAATGTCTTATTCTTACTCATTTAAATTGTATTATTACAACTCTTCCTAATTCCCTACAATAACACACTTGTTTCAGTATCTTCAGCCATAGAAGACCACATTGATTTGACGTTTTAGTGGCTAAAGTTGTGTTTCTTTGTATATGTATCATATAACAATCCACTGTGAATGTGCTTTCAAGGTGGATATGGTGAACCCGATGAGGAACAAGGAGTGTAATCACCACTATGATGAAGGGGCCATACTGGCAATGATCAAAGCAAGACACAGCCAGAAAAAGAATTGCCGGTAAGACGCTCTCCCTTAGAGGACTGTTAGAAAGTTGAGTCAGGTTCTATTCTATACATCTCTGCGTGCTAGCAAGGGACAAGCAATCTGCCTTAACTCATATTTTCTTTATGACACTGCTTTGATGTCAGAAATAAATTAAATGTAGCGGCTCGTAAAGAAACGCTGATGAATTCCCATTGCCTGTCTATGTTGTTTTCTTAGACACCTGCCTATTGTCTGGAGTCCCCACTGCGGTTACACTTTATCCACAATTATAGCTACAATACTCAAGAGGCCTTCCCATATTGCGATTAAGTTTAGAACTGATTAAATGCTGCAGTACTTGGCCACATGTTGTTGTCCCTGAAGTGTCTGTCAGTATCAATGCGGATATTTGTGCGCTTTGTGTTAATTTGCATATTCTATTTGTGTGTTTGGATACTCTTTGAATAATATTGTTGTTGTCTATAGTTGTCCTGTGGTGGGCTGTGGGAATACAGATGTGAAACAGTCAGATCTGATTCCTGACCAGATCCTGAGGAGGAAGATCCAGAGCAAGAAGACAAGCGGCAACCGGACGTAGTACTTTTCTTTATATTTGATTTGGCATTCATCATTATACCTGTGCCATGGTGATTATTTGTTTATAAGAAAGGAATATGTTGTTGAATCTTTTACTCAGTTCTGACCTGCTGATGCTTGTGGAAAATGTACATTTAGATTTTATACCTCAGTCAGCAACCCTGCCACTAGTTTAGAATCTAAGAACTGAGGACTTTTATTCCAAGGGAAGAATCTTTTTGTACTCCAGTGTTTTGAATTTAAATAAAGCTGAAGATCTTTTCATACACATTTAATACCGAGCTTGCATTTATAATTGGGATTATAGTACCTTTACCTGATGCAGTAAGTCGGCAGAACCACAAGAGAGCAGTGTCTGCATGAGGACACATGATTATTGTTGGAAAGACACTTATCTGGGGTTCTTTAATTATCAGCTTCAGGTATGCTGAAAGGATGTTTGGAGACTTGTATCCACTAACTATAAATCCAGGCATGGTTCATTTTAGCCTGAAGTTAGTGAGCCTATGTACATTGAATTCAAATCATGAAGAAACATTTAATTCATGTTTAAATTCGACTTATCACTATTTTATAAATAACTGTTTATTTTCACACATAACTGAAGTAGGATACTAGATCTACTAAATTCATTTCCTCCAAATCACTTTTGTGAATGTGCCATAAACAAACCATTCTACGACATTTGTGAGACTGCACTTTGTACTTATGAGATTAAATCCCTTTCCTGCATGCTATTCCTGTGAAGGGTCTTTGTTTCAAATAAAAACAAACAAAGGCTGTGTTAAGATGGAACTAGGTGAAGCTAATCTTTTAATAACCTTGCATCAGGCCTTATAAAAAGTATTTAATTGCGCTTCTTCTCCGAAGTGTGCGTCACGCAGCACTCAGAGCATTTCGCCAATGAACATTAACTGGCAACAAATTGTCTACAATGTTGACTCATTCATTTCCACACTCTACTTGATTTCGCATTGGCATTCGGCAAAGCTCATCTTGTTTACTGAACAACATATGAAGTCACAGGTAATTTAACAACAAGGGTTCAATTTATGGGAAGTGCACGCAAACACGCATCAGCATTGCATTCAGCGCATCACAGGCTGAGCCATTAAGCTGCTTCTTTGGAGGGAGGCAGAGCTGTAAATATCCTCAGAAATTCAATCTCAACATTATACAGACATTCCATGCCGAGGAGAAGAAAAGCCTCCCAATCGATTCCCCAGAGGCTTGCTTTGTTTGATCAGGAATTCACATTCATTTGCTCAGAGAAGAAGGTGTAATGGCTGCCTGAGACACTGTAAGCCTCCATGTGTGGCATGTCCGAGGAAGATTGTACCCTCTGGCAGGAAGAGAACATAGCCTCACTTGTTGGCATATGAGTCCTGGATGGAGAGGAGGGGGGAACAGCAGGGTCTCAGATGGAGCTGGTACTCTTTTCTCACACTGCTTTGTATGGGCTAAATCCAAATAGTATGACACCCATTAAAAGAAGAAGTCTGGGTTATTATTTTATGGGTAAAATGACCTGCCTCTTTTAAAGGGATTAAAACCAGCTCCTATAGACTTAGTTAATTGCACCTAATACCAGACCTTTAAAGAAAGTGCTGCTAATAGCATTATGTAAGTCTTGTATGATTAGGACTCCTGTGTTCCTATTCTCGAGTTGCAAACTTGGATTATGCCTTTTCACATATTTTGACATGTCACAGTATTAAAACACAGGTGTCAAATGAACTGAATGATGGCTGACTTGTGGTTAGCTGCTTTGGTCGCAGGGTCCTGCTAGTGTGCCTCATGACTTCCTGAGACACTTGAATAGTTCTGGTTATTAATAACACCTGTGCCTTTTATATGACAAGTCTGCTGAAAAGTTTGATATAGTCAGAGTGCATTTAAGATATACTAACATTTCTCCGCTGGCATCAGGTTCAGATATGGAATAAAACTATAATTTTAAAGTCAGTTTGAAATATTATTGTATAACGTTGTATCTGATTGTTTAAAAGGACATAACCTCAAATGTCGTGGAATAATGTAATTCAATTAATATGTATACCCTCAGTTTAGCAGCACATTTAATTAGATCAAATAAAAAAAGTCTAGGTTTGAACAGAATTTAGTTTCAATCAGTAGCATTCTTTTTCTTTGAGATACTAATCCTCCAATTACATCACAAATCCTTTTACAATGTAAAAAGCTTGTACTTGTTAAGCAGATTTCTCATTTTAAAGCTCATTTCATCATAGCAGACAGCTTCCAGAGTATGGAAATAATACAATAATTAACTGGAACAATGATTGGCTGAAACGTATTACCCAGTGTTGATAACAAAGGGGAGAATGTCATGAGAAAGGGTTCTTAATGATTTTTCCCTGCACTAAATCATTCATTGTCTTTCTGTCCTTGATACAGGATGTACATGCTTCTTTGTTCATGAAAGTTCCAATTTTTTTTTTTAATCTCCCAAATTAAGTTTTCTTCATGGGCTGCACCTTTTTAGTTAGAATTCAATGTAAACTGCTCTTTTTATTTAAAGATGTGGAAGTATAAACCAAACACACTGCATGCTTACTGCTATATGTTTTTGAGTTTAAGGATTATCCTTCACCTAAAGAAAAAGCAATGCATTGATCACATCAATGTATAAACTCCAGATCGTTTGTGTGGTACTGGGTTGATCCTGACCTAATAATACACTTTTTATTTTAAAAGTATTATAGGCTCCAACGAAATGTATTCACATTTTATTATATTACTTTCATCCAATAAAAAAATGTGCTAACTATATTGAACCAATTGCATTATTTTACTTTAGTAAACGCCTTAACATAATATTATAAAGTCTGCCAGTTGTTTTGTATTGTTTTTATCAGTGGTGGGCCACATTCTAGTATGACTTTCAGGTACTTGTACTTGAGAACTTCGATGAAATGCTCATTTAAACTTCTAATCCACTATAATTTGCCAGCAATTAATATTGTACTCCACTAAATTTATTCACAGCTCTAGTCAGCTACTTTGCACATTAGATTAACATTTCAAAAATATAAATCAACTAATAAATCATCATGTATGAGTATAGGTGAAGCTACCAAGCAATATATAGTAATTCAAAACAATGACACCTTTTGTATACAGTCTATGCTTTTACCAAGTGCAACATTGAAGTGATGAACACATTAATGCATCAATAAATATCATATACAACAATTATACATAAATTATTCTGAAATGGGCCGCTCTATTTACTTTTTATTTTGATGCTTTTGTACTTCTACTTACATGGATACATGACTTCTTCTTTTAACAGAGTATTTCAACACTGTAGTAGACCCACGTTTCCAATTAAAATATTTGAGTTATTCGCACCTTTGTTTCTGATAATGTATAATTTATTTTGAGAAAGTACCACCGGATATGTAAATGAGGTAAAAAGGCGTACTGTCGCTTTAAAAGCCAACACCTCCCAGCAGTCCCCGGGTGAGTTTCGCTGCAACACTCGCTGTGGTTCATACTTCAGACAGCACAGCACAGCACAGACTACAGCCACACACAGGAAGCAGCTCCGCCAGCACATACACTCTCATTCCGGTTCATTTTACCGATGTGACAACAGGAGGGAGCTGAACTGCAGGTGAGCCTACTCTCTAGAGAGTTTACTGAAAAAGAACCGGATCAAATGTAGAGTACAACAGCTTAAACATGACAACAAGTGTAGTGATATTGCACTGTGCGATCACTAGCCTCAGTACTGTGCAGTAAAAAGTATCCAGCTGTAAAAACGGTGAGGCAACAGTGTGTCAGGTCACACCTGTTGGGAGAGCTCTGTATAATAGTTTGACTTGCAGGTTGGTTTGATGTGCTTTGAACTCCTTGTTTGAGCTACTCTTGTTTATTTATACAGGGTGGCGCAGTTGGTGTTCAAACGGAGGATCTATACAGCCGGACATGGATTACTGGATACATTGGATTTAGTTAAGACGCGGCACAACACTGCGCCTCTCTCCGTGTCTCCTCCCCGGTGAAAACAGGTGGATCCTGTTTCTGTGTTCAGCTCTACCTCCTCTCATCCACCTGTCACCTTTCATGGGGAACCAGGTGGAGAAACTAACGCATTTAAATTACGCAGAGGTGCCAACATCGGACCCAAATGGGTTCGAACCGGACGACAACGGACCGAGGATCGGCGTCTCTTACATTTTCTCCAACGATGACGACGACCAGGACGAGAATCTGGACCGCTTTTCATCGGAGAAAAACATGGTGAACCACGAGGAGAAGCCCTTCGACCCCGGAGACCAGCTGGAGTGCTCGATCTTCTACCGGGAGGAGTGCGTGTACGAGACAAACACCGGAGCCGAGACCCACTCCGCGGAAAGTCTCCTGAACAAGTGCAGACCCGGAGACCTGCTGGAGTTTTTGAACACCGGACAGTATCCCCAATGGGCTGTGTACGTCGGGGACTTCCAGGTGGTTCATCTGCACCGGGCGGAGATCAAGAACAACTTTCTCACCGATGTGAGCCAAGGCAAAAAAGGCAGGATAGTGAACGGCCTCTACAGGTACTCTGCGCTCCCGCCGGAGGTGATCGTGCGTAACGCCCTGGACCATGTTGGGTCCAGAGACAGAGAGCTGTACTGGAGGAACTCTGAGTGCTTTGCCGCCTGGTGCCGCTTTGGCAAACGGGAGTTTAAAATCGGAGGGGAGATAAGGATAGGAAAGCAGCCGTACAGGTTAAAGTTACTATTTTCGGAGAAGAAGAATCACGTCCTGGAGTTTCAGAGCTTGGAGGACGTGATCATGGAAAAGAGGAGGAACGATCAGATTGGCAAAGATGCTGTGATGCAAGAGCTGGCCAACCACTTGAACACAACAAATGAAATCAAAGAGGACTATTTTGCCAACTGACAGTGGAAAATGCAAACTTTTCACGCTGGAAAACAAAGCTGTCAGTCCAATAAGAGCTATGTCTGGGGGCTTGGGCGCATGTGCCACTCAAGCACATCCTCAGAGGGTGTTACAATTAATAATTTCCCCCTGAAATCAGGGTTGATCCTTGTTTCATGCTCAAGTGCATTAGCAAAGCAGATACAAGCGTGAAAACAACATTTGATTCACATCGAAAACACTGTCATGTCCACCCCCTCTTTAAAATGTGATTATACATACTGAACCTTAAGGGAGTGATGGATACATTATCAGAGCTGCACCTGCAGTCTAATCATTTGGGGTTGAAGAATTTAATTGCCCATAATTATCTTTCTAATCCAAGGAATCTCTGTGTGAGTGCTGATAGCACTTGAAACTCAGGTGATGGAGATCAATAGATGAGACGGCTATGTATTTTTGTTATTGTGTGAACCTTGAGGATTCCCTTCTGTTGCTTTTTATCCAATCATGACACAGCTTTACCCACCCTTTGAATACTCTGTGGACACTATGACTGTGCACTTTTACTGATTCACTCCTTTCAACAGTTTATTTTTTTGAAAAGAATATGTTTGTATGAAGGTATATGGAAATAAATATATATATATATATATTTGAACAGTATTTTTCTCTTTTTAGTGAAGGATTGCAACTTTTACCTTTAAAAAGATTTATGGCAATGCTGGCACAGTGCAAATGAATCATTTCATGATTCTCCGGAAAGGTAGCATGACTCTTAAATGCCAGCATTGTTTTGTTTGGTTGTGTTCCAACATTGCTGCACATTTTGCTTTGTTTACACCTCTGCTGACTGACGAAGTCATTTTTTAAAGTTTAGCCGCAGGTTAAGAGTGTTGCTCACCCATGGCTTTCCCTCCTCCTGCTGGAATTACAGCCATAAATTAAATATCGGTCAAAAGTGCAGTTTTAAATCGTTACACCCACAAATTGGCTCAATATTCATGCTTCCAAATCTATTTTTTATGAAGATACAGACCGCATTTATGTAGGATAAAAATGTGAGTTTAAGATTGTAATAAGAAATGGTCCATGAAAATATATTATATATCAACAACCGGAAGTAGATGCACAATTGAGATACCTATTATGTTAAATATAGTTGAAGTAATGTCAAATAATAAATAGGCCTGCTCACACTTAGAGGCTGCGCCGGAAATTACAGTTGGCTCTGAGGTTGTTTTGAACTGTGAGACATCTTGTTTTTTCCCCTGCGTTTCAGAGGAAGCTGATGACTCCCTCATAGCCAGTCGGTCGATCACTCTCTCTGCCGGTTTGCTCTCCTCTGGTGATATTTGCATGGAGATAATACCTTACTTATTTTGCTGCGGGGGTCCCACTGGACCTAAAGCAGGATCGTCATCAGGTACCAAATAAGAAAGCTGCCGGACACATTAGCATTTCATCAATTCCTCTGTGGTTTGCCACAGTGATGGAATCTAAAGTGTGTGTGTTTGAGATACATATTTATGAAAATCATTTTTAGCACCAATACAATCTCTGCAGTGTTTGGCTAAGCACACAATGTTAAAGCAGCTGCCAGTATAGTGGCTTAATATGACATATTAACTTTAATTTTTCATTTTGTGTGACAAAGCTGAAATGGAATTATTCTTCCGTCATATATTAGGTTCAATTTGATTTTCTCTGAGCTATGAAAAGCTGGTACATAATGAACACTCAGCTAAGAAAAAGCCATCAAGCTGTCAGCTGAGTGAATATCAATCTAAATATGGCTTCATTGTGCTGTTTCTTTTCCTACGAAATCTGGAAAGAGTTTTGTTGTTGTGATACACACCAAAACATAAAGTATTTATTTGAGCTTGAGTATCATGCAATATCTAATTGTATCAATTCTAATCTTCTTTGTTAACTATGGATGAACAGAATTGTGTGAACTGACCAAACAAAACAGAGACCAACATCACATTCCTAGATGCAAAATCTCCGCAGGGTGTGTTTAACTGACAATCTCAAATTCAGTCCTATTGCCGGAGAAAGCTGAGCCAGTGCATCCCAGATTAAACGTGTAATTACTCCAGAAAAAAAGGCCACCAGTGTGATCTGTAACCAAATAAGATGGGACTTGTGAGAGTTTGAGGCAGCCCTCTTTACTATGACACAAAACGAGTGTAACCAGGGGAAGCTTTGGGTTTTTGACATGTTGGCTCATTCACGTCAGCCTTTTGGCCGGTGAGTCTGTCATGTTTCCTTCGGAGGATTGGAGGAAAGCCCACAGCCTTCAGGCAAAACTGGCATCATTATAGAAGCTGGGGACGCGCCAGTGCTCAAATCAAACCCACCCCATGTTTACAAAATGTCATTATCTACAAAAACTTCTTCCCACACACAAACATGTCTGAATTTATGAGGAGTGTGCTCATGAGGAGATTCTATCTGACAGGCCTACAGGAAGTGGGAGTGTACTTTAGACGTGGCCTCGAGCCACAGCTAGATTGTTATCCATGTGGGACAAACACAGAGGAGCTCAACGATAGATAGTTTGAGGACATTTGGTAAATTCAAGTTTCGTGTTCAACTTGTTACTGTATGAACCACACCTCAGGGATTGTTTAAGATTGCCACTTTGGCTGCTCAAACAGCAAAACAGCTAAAGTTTTTGCCAATATCCTCTTTGAGCAGCACAGAGCAGGATTTATGAATGCCTGCTGGGAGAGAGAGAGTGTGTTTATAAGATAATAAAACAGATTATTGAGATGACATCAGCCCTTCATAAGCAGCGCCATGTTGAAGGTTTCAATCTAAATGTGTCCAGCAATGATGTTAACAGTATGATACTCTGATAACCAGGCCACTTCCCTGTAGTCCGAAGTATATCAATCTAGATTGCTTTGGTGTTAGATGCAGAGTTTTGGAGATACCGGCCATAGAGAGGATCTCCACAGCGAGAAATCTCTACCCGGTTACTCAAGATAATCCAGACCTTGTTGTGAGCCGTTTCTTGTAGTAAGTATTTTCTCTCTTTTTAGTTTTTCAGATGTATTTCCTTTGAGCATATAATCTTCATTATATTGAAGGGGAAGCAGACATCTCTACAGAAGATATCTCCAACCCTCAGGAACTCAGACCATAACAATCTTTATGATAAATAGGATAACAGGAAGAAGGAAAGATATGTACTTTTCATTTGGTTCTGAACTGTCCCTTTAACACTTCACCTTTAAAAATATTCAATTGTTTCCTCAAAATACACCTACATACATCATCGCATGAACAGAGAGCTGCAGGCTTTTTGTTTGTAAGGCCACTTTCACTGCCCACTCACCTGAATCATGTGTTTGGAGAGACCCTTCCATTTCCTGTGAATTAGTGAGAGAATAGCCTAATGAATCTCCAAAATTAACTACACTGCATTCATTAACGGTTATTGATCCAGAGAGCTGCATCTCACAAAACTTTTTCCCCCCACCTTTTCACTGTAAACTTTACTTCAAGCACCATCCCCAACATTGGGTTAATCATTGAAATGGACCCCAACTGCTTTGGCTTGGACTGACCTGTATGTACTGTTAGATTCACACTGTGATTCTTTCATGTCCCGGCGTGGGACGACCGTTTGTTTTTTCAGCCGCACAATAACAAAGTTCATTCCCTCCCAGTTCCATGGAGCGCTGGGTTTTCTCTCCTTCTTTAAAGCAACATTCCCATAAGCTAGTTTCACAGTTTGTGCTGCACCTGCTACTTTTTCAACTGCACAACAATTAAGTTTAGGTTGCATGCTATACCACAAATACAGGCGGGTGACCAATGCTCCCTTCCTTTGTGCTTTCTTTCACTTTCCTTGACAAATGTGGTTCCGTAGGACTGAGCAATAGGCTGAGAAAGTATAGCCTCTGTAAACAGCGGGGGAATTGCTGAGTTTAGAAAAGATCACTTTAAAGACATCATGACGGTTCAAAGGAAATAACAAGGAAACACGAATAAGGAAAAACGAAGGCATCTTGTGTAAGGAGCTTTGTAAGAGGATGTAAGAAGAGTATCTTTGATTTGATCAGAATAGAGGAAAAAGTGGGAGTTCTTAGACAACGGGAGCTGATGTGGGGCTCGTCAGAATGGGACCAGGCTCTATTCTAGTTTGAGCTGTCGTATCCGCTCAGCCAAGGCTGTCTGGTTTACATAAGCAGAGCCAGACAACAAGGAAGGGCCCGAGGAGAGCTTCATAGAAACTGACCCTGTTCCTGTGGATGGTGATGGATGAATGGGCCATTAAAAGTAAAAGAAAGAGAGGGATGGGAGGCTCTAGAGTGGTTGTTAAACCATACTCAGACGTGCCTGAGAATTGTTGCCTTCAAGCACTCCGACCTGTTTGTCCCTTCAATTATTTATAGCAGGCTGATTCAAAAGTGATCTGCTTTCATCTTATCCTGGGACATCGCTGAGAATCATGCCTCACAATTTAACCTAGTACAAATATGACAATTATACCGTTGTAGTTCTATAAAAATTATACAAGTCTTAATTTTTCTTCCTCAGTTTTGCACTCTTTATTTTTTGTATCTCTTCTTCTTGTATATCTGAATACAGAGGATTTTGCTTGTTATCAAGAGATTAGAGGAAACTTTTATATTATTTGTAACCAGGAGTGGAAAAAAAACAGTCTTAAAAAACTCCTTACAAGTAAAAGGAGTTATAAAATGTCACTTAAGTCAAAGTATCGAAATATAAGTATAAGTACTCATTATGCAGATGGGTATTTTAAAAGTGTTGTATTATTATAGAATATTATAATATCCTGTTATGATCATGTGGAGCAAAGTTTTGGATACTTTGTGAACTACTTAGTAGTATGTAAGAGTAGTAAAAGTGTCGTAGTGGAGTAAGAATTGTAATATTTTCCTATAATATGTTTTTGAGTAAAAGTATAAATTCTTGAGTACAGAACTTCAGTAAATGTACCTCTTTGCTTCTCACCAATGCCTGTATCCCAACATATACGTTTTTATAATTCCCAAATTGCTGATGCTTCACATTAGCTCCACATTGCTCAGTGTTCTGTGAGTGGGCTTCACCTGGAAGCTAGAGTACTAATCCCCTGTCTCACAGTCTCTTTTCTTTGGGCAATTAGAGCCATACCCTCACGACTGTCTTTTAACAACTTCCTCCCGGCACTCTTACTCTTTTTAAATTTAAATTCCATGTTGCTGCCCTTGTGTCAGTTGAATTGTTGGGGACAGGACTGGGTTTTTTCAGGCCTTTTTCTGTATAAAGAAATCAGGCAACTCATTATTTTATACCTTTATTCCTTATGGCTCTCTTTCCTTGTTAGCTTCTTGCTTATATTTTGCTCTTCATATTTTGAGTGTCAGTCGACTCACTATGACGTCCATGACTCAGAGTTTCTCACATCTGCTTTCATGGTAACTGTGCCTCATGCTTTCTAATGATTTTCCGATTATAGATGACTGCAGGTGGTTAAGAGTAGTGCTATCCCTCCTGCACAACACACAGAAAAATAAGCAGTGGAGTAAATGCTTTAGATACAAAACACTTGACCGACTACAGAGTCAGGGATCATTATCAAGTGTCTGGAGGAGTCTAATAGGTCTTTCCTGCAGAAGCCTGAAAGTTATAGTTAGGTATTTTGGAAAACATGGTGATGAGTAGACAGTCAAACCTGTACAGTAAATAGACAGCCAGAACACAGGTACCAAGACATTTAAAGGTAATTTACGAATACGTTTTCCTTGACCTTTTACTTGATCCAGTCTGTTTGTTATTGTGTCTAACCATTTTTGCACTAGAAGTCTGTTTCTGAAATCCAATGTCTACTGCATCCACATTGTCAGAATCAGCTAAATGTTTAAAGTCCTTCAGATAATACAAAGCTTCCCTCTGTCAACTCGGACACTGCCACTCCTCTCACTAACTCTCATTTCCATCATTCATACAACTTCCTGTAACTAGTCACGTGATACAATTAATAATAATGCATTTTATTTATATAGCGCTCACAACTCAAAGACGCTTTACAATATGAGGGAGGGTAGACAAACAAGGACAGGGCAAACAAGTAAGTATAGTAAAATAAAAAAATAAAAAGGCAGTCAAGAGGAAGTTGATTGAGAGGTGGGGGGGCTTATGGGTAGTGTGACGAAGGTAACTTCGTCACTATGGACTGACGGCTTCGGGCCTTGTATATTGCACGTCTTTTATTTTGAAAAGTGTTCCCCCTCCCGTTCTTTCTGTTACTCCTGATTATGTTCACCTGGTGCTGTGTTGTCTCCCCCCGCCCCCCCCACCTGTGTCCTGTTGGTTTGATTAGTGTGGGTGTGTATTTAGGCTCTGTTGCCCTGTCTGTTTGGAGGCTGGTAAGGGTGTGAGATCCTGGTGGCTGCAGGCTGGGCCCACGTGAAGCAGCAGCAGCAGCAGCAGCAGCAGCAGCAGGATTGAGGCTGTGTGTAATGTTTTAATAAATGCCCACACCGGGTTATATTTTTGGACGTTCTGCCTCTGCCTCCTTCCTTGGTCGGGCCGCTCAACGGTCAGTCTCACAGGTAGACAGAGTTGAAAAGATGTGTTTTGAGGCGGGACTGAAAGACTGTGAGGGACTCAGAGTCACGGAGATCTTGGGGGAGGGAATTCCAGAGCCTAGGAGCTGCCACTGAGAAGGCTCTGTCCCCAAAGCTGCAGAGTGTGGATGTGGGAATGGATAGGAGTCCGGCTGCGGTGGATCTGAGGGACCGTGGGGGTTGATAAGGAGTGAGAAGGTTTGTGAGATAAGGGGGGGCCAAATGGTGGAGTGCTTTGTAGGTGAGGACCAGAATTTTGTAGTTGATGCGATGGGAGACAGGAAGCCAGTGGAGGTCTTTGAGGACTGGGTGTGATTTGGTATGCGTGAGGAGACGTGCAGCTGCATTTTGAACCCGTTGGAGTCTGTTGAGGGATGTAGTGCTGATGCCGTAAAGAAGTGAGTTGCAGTAATCAAGGCGGGAGGAAATGAAGGCATGGATTAGTCGTTCGGCTGCGGGGCGGGTGAGAGAGGGTAGGATTTAGGACACTTTCTAAAGGTGAGATACTCGTGGTTGATCAGTATACGCAGATCAATTCAAGGGATAAATAATCAAATACTGTGAGTGGAGTGACCATGACCAGTGTTCATTTTGTAAAATGCCAGCACCATCTTTGACTAAATTAACATGAAATATGGTTGACAGAAGGAAAGATAATAGACAAATGCTGTTTGAATTTCTCTCAAGGTGTTCATGAGATATCACATTCACAACAACGTGACCCGGAAAAATAACCTCCTCCAGTCTTGGCTGTCGGCCCCCTCAGGAATAATATGAGGTTAGGTTATTATTATGATAAAAACTTACAAAGACATTTGGCTCAGGACTAAAATGAACATGTACTGAACTTCAAAAACTACATTCATGGTGAAATGCAACATGAATACCAATACAGTTACAAAAAACATTCATATTGAAAAAAGTGTGATTGCATATTGGAAGAGGGAGGCAACAGATGCAGTGGTGAGGATAAAAGTGTGAATCAAAGTAACCTGAGGCTTACCGTTTGATGATGTCAGGAACATCGTGTCCTTTCAGGCCCTTGATGGCAGCGTAGATCTCCAGATGTTCCTGCAGAGTGATCCTGGGCCACAGAGGGTTCACCTGAGGACAGTAGCCCACATGCTCCAGAGGATTCTCCACCGGACGGAACTCTGTGCTGTAGTCCCCCATCAGCACCTGGACAAAGGCCATGAAAAGGAAAAGACAAACATTTATTTTGTCTTTAAATTGAAGCTATTTCCAGATGAGAGGGCCACACATGTAATCACTCAAAATATCACACTATTGCAGCAAGGGGAAGCTCTGCATTTAAAAGAATATCTGAAAAAAGACTTCAGACTAAGGAATTCAAATTAAAAAAGGAAGTTTTTGACGATGAGGGAAGATGTTTGGAGTCATCTGAAGGTGCACATCATAAACACGGTCAACATTTGTGAAATTACTTCAAATTACAAAAATCCACACTAAATCTTTATATAGGAATCTGGAACTAAAAGAGACAAGGAGAGCAGCTTCAGTCATATCTGTACCTGGCCTGAGGTGGGGTCAGTGTCCCCCGACAGCATGTGCATGATGGTGCTTTTTCCTGATCCGTTGGGGCCTAACAGTCCAAGAACTTCCCCTGTAAAAACAGCAGAAATGAAGACTATGGCTGCACGGTTTCTTCATGGATGGGAGCAATCCAAACATTTGATCACCATGCAATCAAAGCATTATTTGGCTTCACAGAAAGAGTAAACACACCTTTGCGAACGCAGAAAGAGATGTTCTTCGTTGCCTCTTTCCTCCCCTTGTTCAGAGAAAAGCCTTCTCTCCTGCCTTTGTACTGCTTGCTCAGGTTACTCACAACCACCGCTGGTTTCTAAATGAACACGACACAGGGAAGAGGAATTCACTTCAGCGAATACCTCACGATGGCTAGGGGGTGCACTGATCAGAACGATTCCTCATTTAGGATGTTTACAAAGGAACTCAACCTTTGAATGCCGAGCATAGATATTCATTGTGTTTCATGGCAATACAGGGCAACATTCACAGCTCAAGATTAGGCCACACTTATATAATCAGTATTATACTAATTGTAGAATTATTTTCCATAGGCTGCATAGTAAAGCATTGTAACTTCATAATTATTTACCAAATTCAATGCATGTCTTTATCTAATTAAATAAAAAGCACCATCAATTCTTTTTTTTACGGTTGATGTTATAATACAATTTGTAAAAAATGTAACTTCGTTAAAAAAATGGTTGCTCTACATGTGGGCCAATTTACATAATAATAATAATAATAATAATGCATTTATTATATATAGGTGCCTTTCAAGGCTCTCAAGGTCGCCGTACAAACACATAAAAAACAAGATACACAATACATAACACCAGCATAAGAGACATAAACAAGACAATGCAGTATATAAATCAATCAAATAAATAAAAACAGAGGATGTGTGATGGATAAGGATCAGGGTGGATATGCGAGTGTGAAGAGATGTGTTTTGAGACGTGATTTGAAAATGGGTAGAGAGTCAGTGTTGCGGATGTCAGGTGGGACTTCGTAAAACTCCCTACTCCAACTCGAAGTCCCTTTATCCCTCGACAAGGAAAGCAGGAGCGTCGTTGTGAAAGAAAGTTACCAAGTTAGTCGTATAGTGCAGGCGGGGCGGCCAGACGGGATAAGAGGTAAGATGCGTTGTAGTTGGCGGAAGCGGGCAGGAATTTTGGGATTCTCGTGGCGGTAAGAACAAGTGTGGCGAGGACCAGGTGAAAGGGGTAAAGGCTGAGTGACGTTGAGGGAAGAGAAACCAGAGGGAGAACGTGTGCTGAGTTGACCAGGTGCTTGAGACGCATGACGACCGGCCTGGGCGTATGGAGGTAATTGGTGTAGTGAGACAAGAAGTCGTCGAGTGACCGAGGGAGGCAGTTTAGGCAGCTACCGGAAATTCCGTTTGAAGGTCCAAATCTGTGCGACCTTATTACACATCCTTCTACTAGCTTATGTGTCTAAAAAGTTCTTAATTGTGTCTTTTTATCCATGATGTCACTTAGACCGCAGCAAGATAACATTCTTTACCGAAGTGAAGAACGTATTTGACCGGTCACTGGAGTGGGGCGCACTGCATTGTGCCCCTTGTTCCCCCTCTCCCGGGCCACCATTGCATAATTTTTGTACCCCAGGGTTACGATCAAAGCTTGTGTACTTCTGGTCTCTTCAACTTGTGCGTGTATAAGCTTACGTATACTTGACTTGTGAGATTATATACTCGACGACGCAGTTGCTGGCCGTGGCGTTGGCGCTAATCTTATATGGTGCCCCGGGACCCTCTCTTTAACTGAGCACCCGACCGTCCTGTCTTTTCCCCGTTGACCCCTAATACCACTCATGGCCCCCATATCGGTACTGTCTTACAATCATTGCGTGTAGTGTTGTAACCACTTCAATGCGATAGTATATATCCATATTTGTATCATTTAAGGCTATATATCTCAAAACGTCCTGACGAAACATTGAGCCTAGTATTGTCTTTGATTACGCGTTGCATAGTCGGCCATAAAAGAGGCGCAATGGATTACGAGTTGGATGTGCCAGTGCCGACCGACGCGCGCCTCCTCTCTCCCATGCCGACTATGAATACTGTCTAGGACCGCCTCTTTCCAACCACGCGCTCGGAGGCAACTATTACAGCATGGAACATTTACCGACAACTGACCTGTTCGTGCGGCCCACACATCGAGCCCTCCGCAGCGGTTGTCGAGCTAACGTCGTTCCCACTGGCCACCTGGCCAACTCCGGGCCCTTCGGTTGCCGCTCACTGTCGGTTGGGTGCGGGTGTGTTGTTGTGTTCTGTCCCATTTGTTGTTTTGTGTTTCCTCTCGCCGACCTTCGTCATGTCGGTGGTGTCCGCAATGATACGTTGAGGGTTGATACAGAATGCCACGGCAACATGGCCTCCTCTCTCTCTCTCTCGTCCTTCGCCCGCGCGGGGCCCCTCTCTCTTCATTCGTGCGGCAAGGACTATTCAACACCTCTCCATACAACGGTGCCCTCCACCTACGCGTTAGCGTTGGGTCCTTTGGCTTGCGATCGAGGGCCAAGAAAATGATCACCTGGAGCTACAGACTGTCGGACGCATAAAGAAACGTTGGGACGTGTTTGTGTCTATTGAGCGTGGTACATTAATGTTTACTCACTTTATTCTTTACATTTTTTGATGGCTTTTTTATGGTCGAAGGAATTTTGTGTGGGGTGGCGAGAGATGAGTTGCGTTGAAGATGATATGGGCGCGCAGTCTCTCGCTCTCTTACACAGGGACCACACTACATTATTACTTGCGCAAGACTTTGCATACTGAATTTTTTTTTCGGCAAAAAAATCTCGTCTCCAGTTTTAACGAGGAAAGGTTGAGACTTAAGGACGGGAATACAGAGCATTTTGTTATAGTTTAGGACGGTAAGTGGAAAAAAATTAACATTAAAGTTCGTCATTTTAGTATTTTACATCTTTGTTTTATTTTTGGAACGTTCTACGAGGAAAATTTCCGGTAGGTATCGGACGGCAGTTGAGGAAGACATGGAGAGGGCTGGAGGAACGTGTACGTTGTGTCGGGTACTGGGCGTGTTGAGTCTAGAAGACGAAAGGGAGTTGGAGTGACGTGGGGAGGCAAATTTGGTGGTACCCCAAGACTGGAAGTCGGCGAGACGTGGGGCGGAGANACACCCTTAGCCCTTTACACTAAATCAGTGGTTCTCAAACTTTTTCTGTCAGGCCCCCCCTTTGGAGAAAAAAAAAAGTCGGGCCCCCCCAACACAAATTATTTGTGTTGGGGGGGCCCGACTTTTTTTTTTCTCCAAAGGGGGGGCCTGACAGAAAAAGTTTGAGAACCACTGATTTAGTGTAAAGGGCTAAGGGTGTTTTCCTCTTATGTGATTAGACCAGGCCAGATTGCTCTCACCTCTCCTGTGACTTGTTGCACTATATCAACAAAGCAGTTAATCTCCCTGTCCAGTTTGGCACACTCCAGAATCATGGCTTCCATCTCTTTGATGCCAGGGTTCGTCTCTTCACCTGTAGTTTAGCAGCACACAATATGAGGGACAACATTTTCAGATTATCCACTTGAGTAAAAGTAACAACACACTACAAATGTACTAGGTTACCCGTAAAAGTCTTGCATACAAAATTGTGTTGACATTTTACAAACAAACACATGTATTAAAAGTTCAGGCAGTAGGTTCACAGTATGCCTAATACAGGCATATTATTATATTTGACTATGATCACCAATACATTAACATGTAAGTGGTATGAACTGTTCAACGTGGAGCTAATTTGCTACTACTAATGCTAATTCAAAACAAAAAATCGTGGGTAAGGCCTAGTGTAAAACACATAGACTGTATGTATAAAATTGAGCTATTGAAGAAGGAGCAGCAAAGCTAGTGACAGCACAACACTACTGAGTGTACTTGTATTTGTTACCAAGAGATTCCGCCAGGTCTATAGCCACATCTGTCACTATGACCATTGTGGTCCCGATCTCCTCCCGACAGGACTGCAGACTCGACAGTGTTCCGCGTACGGTGCTGAGAGACATTACGAAGGATGACTGATATTCCCAACAACACAAAGTGTAGCTACGTTATCCTAGCTTGCCAACCGTACCTGCAGCATACCCGATACGTTTGGGCTAAAAACCAAAAACAAGGCTCTGGCTAAAACTAATCACCCGCGAAAACTGTACACAAAACAGTACTTATGGCTAAGCTAAGGTCCCACTTCCGGGTTTGTTTTTCAAAATAAAACCCTTTACGAAAAGATAAGATAGTCAACTGAAAAGAAAAACACTATTTAAAACAATCTTATTTATTACAGAATTTATTTTGGAAATGGCACAAAGTGAAAACACATAAAGTTGGCAATAGACTATTTAAACATTTATCTATGTACATTCAATTATTAGTGCATTAAGACATTACCGGTCAATTACATCATGTACAATTTAAGTAAACAAGTCATCAGTTGTTTTTATAGTAGACATAAGTGTAAATAACAAAAATAATTAAGACTAAGTATGGATTACTGGAACACTTAATCGAACAAAGCAATTGTTAATGTTATTAGTAACACACTTCTGTTTTTAACTAATATGTCAAGTCCAAATGTCAACAGTTTATGGCAACAAAAGCAGAATGGGATGATGAAAATGCTTCATCCGGATCTTCACAGTATTGTTCTGAACTCATCAAAAATGAAACTTGGCACATGGGCTTCTGCGACCTAAAGGACATAGGAAAAAAAAGAAGAGAAATATACATTTAATGTATTTTACCACATTTGACAATACCACTAGCAGCATTACTAGGGTCAAGGTTGTCCTACCTTGCGTGACAGTTTTGTATACTTCACGTAGTCTTCAAGGAACATCAGCGCTCCCACCACATCAGAAGGCATGTCAGGGATCTTCTGACTATTATAGGGGCAAATGGACACTCAAATGTGAGTAAGACTGTTAAACACCTGAACTAAGAACATCCATAACATTCACCTGTTTGTACCTTAAAAATGATGCATCACTTGTATATAGACTCTTATGGCACTACTTCTATTCTATTTTATTGTATTTACTTGCACTATTTTATCTGTTTTATTGTGTTGCACTGTTGGAGATCTTCATCGACATTACTACACTGTAGCTATGTACGAATGACAATAAAAGCCTTGAATCTTGAATAAAGCCATTAGAGGATATATTTCAAAACAGTATTCAGAACAAGCTAACTAAAACATAATTTAACCTTGAACTGCACAAAAAAGAGTGTTAAAATGTTCCAAAGTACTCAAGTCTGGGTCTTCTTGTTACCTTGTGCACTGCTCCATGATAGAGCGGATGAACTGACCAATGAGAGCCAAGAACTGCTGTGTGTATCTGGAGTGAAACTGCTTGAGCAGGGTGAGCATGCCGAGCACAAGAGGAACCCAGTCCACTGGATCTGCAGCTTTCCTGCAGGTCATTCCTGGAAAAACATAAGACATGAGACATATGGCCATTAACATGTGGAAGCAGCACCAACTCTGGCATACTGACAGAATAATCCCCCATATCATTTTTCACTATTAGTCAAAACATATGGTGTGCACTCAATCCTTAAACTTACCGGTAGTGACTGCCTACATTTCCTAGAATAATGATGTGTGCATACCCATTTAATAACTACATTTAAACTATAAAATAATAATAATGGTTGTAACACAACACTGGTTGTATGAGTTGCACTCACATGTATACAACTTAATAATCATCAACCACAGTACATTAAAAGCTGTAAATGCTTTTTAAAGTAACTGTAAAACAATTTGCCTTGGTTTTTGTTGTACTGCAGTTTAGGCAGCTGAGCGATAACAAACAGGAAGTTGATGATGGGAAAGTATGGTAAGCGCTTTGTGGTGATGTAGATCTGAAAGAAACACAAACAGAAGAAAGACTGTCAGTGTCCTGAAATTCATAACCACAGAAAAGAGACAGAACATGGCGTGGGGGAGAAATGTGTGTTTTTAAAAAATTCATTAATATTTGTCAAATTGATTATTTATCACATGGTGTGAAAAGAAACAGCAATAATCTGCAGACCTTGTTGAGTGGGTTGTGAATGCCGGCGGCCTCTAGGTGAGCAGCGATGTCGTACAGCAGAGTGTTGTCCTCTTTAGGGTAGGGCAGGGATGGATCCTGGTAGTGAGCTTCAATATCTGCCAGCAGAGACCTGGCAATGGAAAAATAAAGTTTGAATTATGGTAGATTAATAAAGGAGTAAGATTCTTAAATAACTCATAATTGATCAACTAGTACTTAAATGGTATTAATAAACATTTACGTACATTTATTGTGAGTTTAAATGCCTAAATATGACCATTACTGTGAAGCAATAACCCTCTTGATGGTCTGGGAACAAAGCAATACTTTCCCTTCACCACTAATGATAATAATGATATAATAACACAATAACAGAGACATTAGAGAGGTGGTGCTTTAAGATTTGACCGACTTGTTGAGGTTTTCCAGGGCAGCAGCCAGGTGTTTGGAGTCAAACTTGCAGGAGAAGTTCAGCTCATTTGCAATCTGCTGCCGGAGAATCTGCATCTGACCAACCTACAACAAACACATTTATTTCACTTTATTTTAACAACATCATAGCTTCATTGGCAGTTGAAGTGGCATGACAATACATGATGGAAGGGGTGATAGAAATGCATTTAAGAGCAAATTGAGCTTAGGTTTCATCATCAAAGAAGGCACATTTTGTGATCATTAATTATCAATAATTATTTTAAATTATAACATTTCTTGAACCAGTACCTTCATGATGGCCTCCAGGTATGCACCCCAGATCTTTTGGGTTTTGGCCACAGCGCTAGCGTACACTTTGCTGGCATTACCTGTTGCACAAAACAACAAAACACACAAATTGATATTCTTCTCAAGGATTAGGAAATCATGGCAGTTAGTAGGATTTCCTGAATGAATACCTACCCACAATACCCTGGACTGGGTTGACAGCATACAGGATGGCTTTAAAGACATCTACCACAGCTTTGTCCTTCAGGATGGTCCTCTGAATCATCGTCAGGAAGTTCTGATGTGGAAACAGTGCAAATATATTCAGTTATGCATCCATTTGTGCATTAGAGTCGCACAGCCCGAGACGGTAGGCTAATTACCTGAAGTTCCTTGACAATCATGAAGCAGAGCAGGCGGTCTAGTCCATTGAGGCCGAATGTACCCAGAGTGTTCTGGATCTCAGAGAACAGCCGGTTGTTGGTGACCTCGTGGTGGCTCCTCAGGTCGTACCAGGTGTTCATCTGGTCAATGTAGCACGTTACCCTGTAGGAAAGTGTATTAGGTGGCTGCAATATTCAGCATCTACATAAATAACCAAAGACGTGTCATTGTGATGTTTGAGGAGGCATACTTGGGATCAGTGATGCGGAGGATCTCTCTGCAGAGACGACCGATGAAGGTGGCAGACTCGTCCACAGAGGGAAACTTTGGGATGGGGATGTGGGTGGACTGGTGCACACTCTGCCAGTCCTGGATCTGATTGGAGGAAAGTAAAGGACCAATCACCCTGACAGATAGACAGAAAACAACCCAAGCATTTTTCATTTCTCACAAAGGGGTGACGCGATGTCGGTGCATTAGTCAGGGACATGATCAGAAACCTTAAAAGGCTACTACTGTGATGAGTCTCACCTTGGCTCTGAGGAAGCTGTTGCATTCCTGTTCCACATTGTAGTTGATGATGCGGGACACTTCTTCCTGCCAGATTTTAAGGCCGTAAATGCTGACGTAGTCCTGGATGTACTCAAATGACCTGTAGAACCCATCCATGGTGGCCGCCATGTCCTTCAACTTGGGCATCAGCTCACTAGACTGGGAGATTAAAAGTCTCTTCATTTAACTGTTATTCTTGGTTCTCACAGGCAAAAGGACATTGCCAATACATTACAATTATCTGCAAAACTTGTATTTGCAAATAATTTTGTCCTGGGGAATCTCCTCCAGTTTTATTACTACTTTGTATTCTTGTATTGTTTATGTGAAACTTCCAAGATATGACAACACCTTGATCATGCACTTTAAATTACAAAAACATAGATATAATCATCGAACAACACATTGCAAATAGTATGTCTTACCTTAGCCTTGGGGTTAAAGATCAATCCTTTGTGCAGAGCATACCCTACCCTCTTCACCAACTCCTTCCTGATGCCATCCTCCAGAAGCTGCTTAGGGTCCACCTTAAGCACAACAGTATGTTTGTAAAGTCAAATCACAGTAATGTAATCTTAGACTGCACTGTGGTCCTACCAAAAGTTCAAGAAGTACATACAACTTTATCACATCATCTACCTTTATGATCCCAACTAGAGTTGTCTTCATCATCAGGATCCCCTCAGTGAAAATGGAGATGTCATGGGTGAGTTTAGCCACCTTTAATCACATGAAGACAAAATATGATTAGCCACTCAAATTACGGATTAAATTAAATTAAATCAATACAATGTAAAAGTACTAGGATAATCTATTCATATAAGCTGTTATATTGTCCCTTTACCTGCATATTTAGAAACGTGCCTGCAGTTGAGTTTAAGGACCTTACACACCAAGCCGATTTTCGGCGTCGATAGATTTCAGGCCGTCGATGAGCGTCCTGTCTTGTGTGTACTGCACCGTCGTGTCTTTTCGGCCGTGCCGACACCTTCTGCCGCCGATTCGACATGTTGAATCGGGAGGCTGTCGGCTAAAGGCTGTCGGCCAAAGAAATCACTCTGATTGGCTGTTCAGCAAGCGAATCAGTGCATGAGAAGCGAAACGGAAGTGAGGGACCCAAACAAACTATAAAGAAGGCAAATCTGAGATTTCATTTGACTCCAGCTCTCGACACAGGTTCGGGAAAGCTCCATGAGCTTCTCGCTGTGGAGTGAAAATGGAACGCACACGCTATTTGTTGTTTGTTTATATCACGCACTCTCTCTCTCTCGGTTATCAAGCAGTCTGTCTTCCGGTTTTTGCCTCTTTTGAATGACGAATACACACTACCGCCGCCTGCTGGTAAGGAGAGTTATTGCCACTCACGCATGCGTAGTTCGTACGTGCAACTTGGCCGTTGGCTGAAGTCTTTGCGGTGTGTTCCAGTGCGACACATTGCCAAAACGCAGGCGACGTGAGGCGACGTGAGGCGACGTGAGGCGACGTGAGGCGACGTGAGGCGACGTTCCGTCGGGACGTGTTCTTTGCTGTTCTTTGGTGTCAGTTTGGTGTGTAAGGATCTTTAAAGTCACTTGGCACATTTAAATTCTAAATATCAGCCTTTTCTTATCCAATTTATAATTTATGCATTTTCAAGTAAGTGTCAGAGCCTTATTTTCAATCAGATCAAATCAATTGGCAGCTAGATGATTGCCTCAGACTCATATACAGTAGATGAGTATACTTTGAGGGATGTCATGATGGAGAAAGGCAACGTAACCTCGAGAAATCGACAAAAAAAACATACACTCCTGGTAAATAATTCTGACGTAAAATTAACCACAAGTCAATTTACGTGAAACACTACCACGGACCAATATTTTTGTTTTTTGGACTTATAAACTTGAAGATTTCGTTTTGTTTACATTGATATATATATTACGATGTTTGACACCGTGAAAAAAAAGTCTAAGACAATTTAATTACGATAAACAACAAAAATACGTGAAAAACCTGGATGGAAATAATCTACTTGTTTACTTATTTTTAACGTACCAAGGAAGACGTCATTATACACAACCAAATTTTACACAGTATGGGCTAAAAATGTCCGGGCGACTTATAGACCGGGTCGACTTTAAAACATCAATATTTTAGACCGGGTTGGACTTACACATTAACTTATCGGGACCGTATTCATTCTAGTTACAATCACGAATGAGTCAAACACAAAAAAAACAGGAACAAAGGTCCACGACGTTAGTAGGGTCTTTCGTACAAGTGCAAGAGACCGGTTCTAGTAGTTCGAAGTCTTAGGTCTTGTAGTACCTCACGGGTGCGCCCCGAGCTATTCCTGTTCGACTTCCTGATGAGGGTCGAGCCGAGCGATACTTCATTTTTTGTACAAGTTTATAGGAAATCTAATGTCTATCTTTTTTTTC